ATTTTTTTGAGGAACCTCCATATCCATTTCCACAATTGCTGTACCCATTTTCATTCCCACCAACAATGTACAGGGTTCTCCTTTATATATTCACCAGCACTTACATCTCATCTTTTTGTCCATAGCCTTTTTAAAAATTAAACTTATTGGGGTGACCTTGGTTAATAAGATCATGTAGGTGTCAAGTATACATTTGTATGATCCTCGGTCTGTGTATTGCATTAACAGGTGTGAGGTGATATGTGACTGTGGTTTTGATTTGCATTTCCCCGACCATTGGGGATGTTGAGCACCATTTTATGTACTTGTTGGCCATTGCTGTGTCTTTTTGAAAAGTGTCTATTTGGTGGTCCTATCCATTTCTCAACTGAGTTTGTGTTTTATTTTCATTATTGAGTTATGTGAGTTTGAAATATATTTTGTATATTAACCTCTTATCAGACATAAGATTCAAAAATATTGTCTCCCATTGTGTAGTTCGCTTTTTTTAAAAAAATATTTATTTAGCTTTAGAAGGAAAGGGAAGGAGAGAAATATCCACGTATGGTTGCTTCTGGTGCATCCCATGCTGGGAACTGGCCTGCAACCCAGGCATGTGCCCTGACGGGAAATCAAACCATGATCATTTGGTTCGCTCAATCCACTGAGCTACACCAGCCAGGGCTGCTTTTTTATTTTGTTGATTCTTTTGCTGTGCAGATGCTTTTTAATTTGATGTAGTCTCACTTATTATTTTTTGCTTTTTGTTGATTATATTTGGTCTCATATAAAAAAAATCATTGCCATGGACAATGTCAACAATCTTTTTCCTTGTTTTCTTCTTGTAGTTGCACAGTGGCAGGTCTCCTGTTTAATTCTTTAATCCATTTCAAGTTAATTTTTGTGAATGGTTTAAGATGGGGTCCAATTCCTTTCATTGGCATGTGGATATCCAATTTTCTCAACATTATTTTTGCAGGGAACTCTCTTGTCTCCATTGACTACTCTTGGTTGCCTTGTGACATATTAATTGAGCATATACATGAGGGTTTATTTCTGGGATCTTGATTCTGTTTCAGAAATGCCTGAGTTCCCCATTGCATAAGGTTTGGTGGAGTATAAAGGCTACTTCCTACTCTACAGGTCCACTTTCAGAACTTCCTCTGTTTCTTTTGTGGGGTAAATGACTCAAGCTCATCTATTTAGATGCATCTACCCTGGGCATCACTTGAAGATGGTGATACAAAAAAATAAGGACACCAGGCGTCCTTTCTGGCAGCATTGGAGGGGGTAGCCTCAACCCACTTCCTAGGTCAGTGGCAGCAGCATTGTCAACAGTGATGTTCAGAGTCCACCTCTGGAAAGCTGTGTTGTCTAATGTCCAAGGGGGTGATAGTGGAATTCTCTCTGGATCATTTCTGTGGCTTAACTTCGACTGCTTCGGGCTGCTCATTGTCCAGGTCTGGGCTTCCAGCCTTCCTGGCTGTTCAGTGACATACTGGTAAATATCCTTTAATTAAATTTCCCTTTCTCTTAAGTCAAAGTTGTCCCTTTTTTTGTTCTTTCCACCTTGAGGATTGTGACTGAAAAACACACATAAAACAAGCTCTCTTTGCAGCATTATGATGGGTGGGAGTCTATGATCTGCTGCATTGGACCCACTCGTACAAGTCAAGCCGCTGCAGTGCTGTAGGTAACAAAGGCGTGTGCCTGCTGCAGTGCGGTCAACGGAAACAGGCTGCACAGCTAGGAAGCAGAAAAGGCACACTTGCCCTCCAAACCCAGGCTTCCCAATACTCAAATGCCACGTAAAATTGTCCTGAATGTGGTTAAATGTTACACAAATATCATGAATGATGTTGGTACACTACTGTGTGAAAATAGCATTCATATTTATATTGCTTCATTTACTCATTTTGGTAAGAAATGGGGTAGGATTACCGGAGATGTCCTAGAAGAAAAGGTGTTTGAGGATGTATTGTCTGTGAGGAGACTGAGGGTTCCTTCCGACAAAATGTGGACCAACTCAGGGGTTGCTCTTTGGCACTCACTGTCTTGTTCCATGTGCACAGCAGTCCAGTAAAGAGACTGGGACAATAATGATTCTGACTGTGTAGTGAAAATCCTGACGGTTCTCACCAAAAACTTAGTGTACATGAGACACATGAGCAACATGTGGTGAGGTCCAGATTCAGAACCTCCCCTCTGAATCTCAGCCTGACCCTCTGGCCACCATGAAGGAACCAACTAAACTATTTTCTGTGTTTCTTCACTTTACAAATCTAAGGTTTTCTTCTGAGATACTGATTGATCTATCCATTTCTCTAAAATCACTCACAAAATACCCACTGTTGAATATTTCTGAAATTCTGTGTTGTTTTGATATGAGGGACAAAACCAAAGATGTTGACATTTTTAGGTTACTGCAGAGCACAGCCACAGCCTACACAGCACTGCCTACGTAGTTTCTGAATCCTGAATGGTCCGATTCTCCTAGATCCAAGATTATCCTTTGCAAATCAAGTGGAGAAAAGTACCTTCTTTGCCAAGGAAGCGTAACCCAAGTGTTCCCAAGGCTCCAAATGCTGTGGGTCCATATGAGGACACACCAACATCCACACCCAAGTTACAATCACCGTTTCCCCATGTGCTCACCCAGACCTCCAACCTTCTGAAAAACATCCTCTCCCTCCTGCTCACAGTGTGCTGGTGCGTTTACCAGGGCACAGACACTAATCATTCTGGCTCTCTCACACAAAGACTGCAGCTAGAGTGGGCTGCTCCAAGCTCCCTGCCTCTCTCCCTGTGAAACTGCAGACCTGAACCACCCACCCTGACTAGTGCCAGGCCAGCTGGCCAGTCTCCTGTGTGGTGAGAAGGGGCACTTCATCCTTCTTCTGGGTGGTGCTCAACAGACGGTGGTGATGAGGTGGCAAGGGTTGTTCTACAGCAGGGTTAGCTGGACCTCCCAAATGTAGAGTTTGGTAAGACAGCTCCTTGACTGTGCATTCAGAGCTCTTAGGATTTCAGGGCACCTGTGGGCTACTAGGGCAGTTGAATCAGAACCTTTGCTGAAACCACTATTCCTTCCTAAATCTAGAGTCCAGTAGCTGAAGTCCTTAGAATAAACTTTCTCTCTGAGACTCCCATTTTCTTTTGTATGTCAGTCTTTACTGAATCCTTTCTTTAGCTCCATCCCTGTTCTAAAAGACATGGCATGTGTCTAAACACCAAATGCAACAGAATTTGTGGTCTTTGACTAGGTGGCTATTTTGCCCTTATATAAGGTGGTGACTGGACATGGGCCCCAGCAAAGTGTTTTCCTGGGAGAACTCAAGAAGTTCACTTGAACCTCAGCTCAGGATGTCCCCCAGCTCCATTCTGAGAACCACCAATCAAACTCAGAATGGAGCATGGAAAACTCTCTTTCTAGTCAAATTATTTAGATTTTGATGTTTCACGACCTAAACACATTCTTGGGAAAGAATACATGAGGAAGGGCAATAGATCCAAGTGTCCATCAACAGATAAATGCAAAAATATGGCATGTGCATACCATGAAATATTATACAGCATTAAAGACCAAGGGGTTGTGACACATGCTACAACATGGATGAAACTTGAAGACATTATGCTAAGTGAAATAAGCTGGTCACAAAAGACAAATTTGTATGATTCCTCATATATGAGATTCCTAGAGTACTCAAACTTAGAAAGCAAATCGGTGGTTGCCAGGGGCTGGGAGTTGGGAGAGGGGAGGAGAAGGGAATGTGGAGTAATGTTTACTGGGGCAGAATTTCAGTTGGAGCAGATGAAAAAATTCTGGAGATGGATGTTGGTGATCATCACACAATAATGTGAATGTACCTAATTCCAAAGAAATGTACACTTAAAAATGGTTAAATTGGTAAATTTTTATTATGTATAATTTAACACAATAAAAAAGGCTGTACAAATTACTCTCTAGAAGTAACCACTGTAATTTTTCTTGTGTATTATTCTAGTAATTTCCTTATACATGTATGAGTGTATGTAAGTACACATGAACTGCATATGTGTATAAATGTATGTGCATGTGTGTTATTAACATAACACAAGTATTCAGCAAGTATTCATGTTATTAACATGACATACAAGTATTTGGCAAGCATTTTTCTTTGCTTATTTTATCTTGGATGTATTTCCAGATCAGAAATATAGTTTTACTCCATTTCATTAGGTGGAAATATAAACCCTTATTTTGAAATACTCTCAATTTTTGATTAGTGTTCTATTGTGGACATTCAGGGTATATTCTTTTAAAAAAAAAAGTCAATGCACCAGTGAACATCCAAATATACTTCTTTGGGTAAACATGTATGCTTGAAGAATTCCTAGAAAAAATGTCTTTTAGCTGAAAGGATATCTGCTTTCATAATGTGGTAAATAATGCCTAATTTCCCTCCAAAGCACACCAATTTATACTCCCACCTACAATGTATAAATATCTATTTCCCCACTTTCCAGCAATGGGTATTATCAAATTTCTTAAAGCCTCTTGATTTAATGAATAAAAAAATAGTGTCTGAGTGAGGTTAAGCTTCTACTGTATGTTAATTGATTTATAAGAGCTTCTTCTACATATTATAAAAATTAGCTTTTTCATAATATATTTTTTGAGTGTTTTCTAAATTTATCCTTTGTCTTTATGCTTTTTTAGCCACATAACATTTTTAAATAGTTACATAGATACAAATATCTCCATTTCTTTCAAGATTTAAAAGTTTCCCATGTTATTTCTAATAAGTTTATAGTTTTATCCCTTAGTTTTAAATCTTTTATTTACTATTTTGGAATAAGGATTAAGAAGAAGAAATTTGGTTCTTTGATAAAAATAATAGTTATTCATTAAACACTTTGGGAAGCAAAGTGTTCGTTCACCTTTCATTTGTCATAATTTAATCTGTAAAGTAAACAAGTGGCGAAATGGGTTCTGAGAGTCCCAGCTGCCTGCCCAGCGACACAGCTCACACTGGGTAAAAGGCAAGACTCGTGCCCTCAACTACTGGGTGGCAGTGGTTCGAATGGCTAATTTGCTTACAGAATATAGAAGAGGAGGTCTCCTTTCATCCCATCACTTCCTTCATTTTCGCAGTCCATTAGATTTTTAAAGAAGGTGGGGAAAAAGTTGAGAATTATTGTACTGTACAACATGTACGAATTGCTTGTTAAGTGATTACTTTGGACTGTATTTCTTCTTGAGAGACTTCTTTTAGTGTGTACCACTTCTTGAAAGAGTTCGTCATCATCTTCTCCACTAACAACGATAAGTCTGTTATTTTACCATCAGCAAATTTGTAAACATTTAAAAATTGTTTGTTTTTTCTCCACAGAGCTCCTGGTTTCTTTTTCTGGAATCTTTCAAAGTGGAGAGGCGACGTTCTCCTGAACGTTGGGGAAGCTACACAGGTGACTAGCAGCCCCAACACCTCAGGGGGCAATCGTTGCCCCAGAAGCACAGTCCTGGTCGCACTCCACAGCTGTCTGTGTCTGCACTGGCCACAGGCCCAGGCTCCCACGGGACACTGAGTGTCACATTCAGCCTGGCTCTGCTCTGCAAACAGCAGCACTCTTTCTTTGGCTGAGCAAGTGTGGGTGAAAAAGGGACCGGACCGCCTACTAAACCTGACAAGCTCAGGGAGGGCTTACACACTCACAGACCAAAAGTTACCACTAGAGAGTCTGAACATAAAAATTCCTAACTAGAAGTGGGTCGTGTTGAATAGTCACGTCCTGGGCCTGTAGCTTCCTCGAGAAAGGTCGGTATTTACATTAAGTGAGCCTTTCTATTGTCTTTTTGAATGTAAGATAACATACCTTAGTAATACCAAAGTAATCTCCTTTACCTCACCCCTCACCCCCACTGCACCAGAGCTGAGACCACAGAGCCCTTCATTGTTATCTCGTTCCCCAAATACCACGTGTACTTGGTAAGTGTTTGTTGCTAACTGCCCTGTTCACTGTGTCAAAGTGTGTGTCTCTTCGGTTTACTTTTTATCCAGTCTCAGATTTCCCTGTCTCGCTCTCTCCCGCCTCCCTGTTCTACCAGCGATTGATTTCATGTAACCCTCTTTAGGTCTCCTCCTTTGATTCTGATATATAAAATAAGCTGTAAAAGTGCCATTCTCTGGAGCATTTTCTCCATCAATTGAGATTTTGCTTCCTGGCAATTGTCATCAGTTTGGTTCAAATACACTCATAAAAGTTTCCTACGGGTTGGGACATTTCTTACGTCGACAGGAGGCATTGAGAAGAAAGGGAGATGAGATGGCAAACTGGAACACTTGCAAGTGTGATAACTGAACTTTGAATTGATCTAGAATGAAGCCTTTTTTCCTCCCAAACTGCAAGTATTTGTTTGCTCTCTGGTGTCTTTGGTGGTGGAAAATTAGCATAACTTCCTTCTCTCTCAGTCCGTCTTCCAGCCTCCCAGTGGGGTTTCTCTTTGAAATCAGAGTTGTGTGTGTGGAAAGGATTCAGGAGCCAGGCTTGGAAGCCAAGAAGAAAAGCAACCAGCCTATTTCCCATCCAAAGAGTAACCCAATACAGCTGAAACTTTAGACTGAGGTGCTTGGGAAATGATTTGTATTATGGTTTTTTAAGAAGCAATTGTATGTTGCTAAGGAAAAGACCTAAAACATGGCTTAGGAAACTCAGCTTTGATGATATAGTACAATAGATGATGTACAATTTAACAAGTTAATTGATTTTTTTCTTAGGAATATAAACTTCACAATATATTTTTTAAAAGATGAAATTATTAAATATCACCATGGAAATACAAACCAGAGATACCCAAACACTCAGAGGGTACAGTCCACTTACAGCCCTTCCTGTTTCCTTCTATGTCAGCTACCTTCAAGTTTGAACAGCTATGAATTGAATTCTTTCATGTTTTGTCTACCTGGAGGGGCTGTATAAGAAGATCTCAGCTGAAACAGGAAAGGTACAATAACTCCCTCCTCAAGACTGGAAGTGACCATAAGTTATGACGTTTGCAATACTCATGTAATTCTGTTGGGGAAACAAGTAAATTAAAATTTGTATTATGTATTACGAGGCACGGCTGAATGAAAACCCGTTTTGTCTATTTGCCACCTCTTTGTAATAGTAGCTTGTGTCTGCACTGCAGGCAGTGGACAATGAACTGTGAATTGAAATGAAGAGAAGAGAAGTAGCAGCTGACACTGAGTTGGGGGAAGGTTGTGTGCGATGGGGTTTCTCATGGGCAAATTAGACCAACAATGAGAAGCTGTAGCTTACTGGTTTGGATAGAAAAAAGTTAGGTGACTTCACTAGAAAATACAGGATGGGGCAAGAGTAGGTTTTCAGTTGTTCGTATGAAAAATAATACAATAATTAATAATAACAAGAATAAGCTCTGTTTCATATAAACCTACCTTTGCCCCCCTCCCCATAGTTTAGTTTATTAATTATTGATTTATTGGCTCAGTATATTTTTCAATGAGTCTGGGAATTGGGGAGAGGTATATTCAAGGATCTGAATGTCTTTCTTGTGGCTCATTCAAGAGAAATTCAACATTTCCACATTCAACCAGTAATTATTCTTTAATTAGTGAACTTTAAAAAAAAGAAAGTAAAGAAGAATGAGATCTTATTTTTCTGAATTCAATGTATTAAAAAACATATGCTGGAGTCACTGTGTATGTGGGTTTGTACCAAATTCTCTTTGTTTGAGTCCACCGATGCACCTCAGGTCCAGGTTCGGTAGTGTTTCTCCAGACCTGTAGGGCCGTCTCCAGTCTATGACCTGTTTAAGACTGGATGGAATTAAGATGAGACTTGTAAGGTGTATCCCTTATCTGGACACTACAGAAGATTCCAATTCAATAGCTTTAAATTCTTGAGAATTCTCGTGTCTCTCCAGTGGAGGCCTTTGACTGTGGTAGTTGTGATCATCAGTCCTGCTGCTGCCAGAGCTGTGACACTCAAAGGAAAAGGGACACTTCTTCAGGTGAGTGGAAGATGCATTCTGTCATAGGGCCCATTCGTTTGAAAAGGGATAGAAGTACAAGTGGGAATTCTGGATTTCTGTCTTAAATGCATGCAGAAGCAGCCCAGAATCCACTTTTCACCAGCCCTCCTCTATGTCAGCCATGGCCCTTGCTCTGAATGTCATGAATGTGGCTACAGTCATAGGCAGGCATTTCGTGAGTCAGAGAACAGACTACAGACACCAGACGCTGCAGAATCATTAACTCAGCGTTCAGGCTTACTTCATAAAATGAGACACATTTCCCCCGACTGCGGAAGGAAATGCTGCCCCGTAGATATGTTATGAATAAATTAGACAGAGCTTCATCAAAGTGGGGAAAAAGCCCACAAACCAAATTCAAGAAAATTAGAGAATACAAGAGAATTTCCTTCCATAAGACTTTTATGTTGAACCTTTCAGTAGGCACACATTCTACTCTATGTGCTGTTTTCTAGCATCTACTGCAGCTTAAATAATAACAGAAAAAGTGGAGACAGTCATTGTTGCTTCCTCTGTTTTCCATGGGCCACATCTAGCCCTCTGTCATATATCAGGTTGAATCCCAATGTATAGCTAGAAAAAAAATATTTCCACATATATTTCTTTGGTTTATTTTTTATTTTTATTTTTATAGTCTTTTTTTATTGCCGTTGGAGTGGAGTTGTCTCCATTTTCCCCCACCCAAACACCACCACCCCCACCCTGATCCCACCCCCTCCAGATATATTTTTTTAAAGCATTCTTTTTAAGAGCCAACATTCTACAGTGAGGACATTATACCAGCAGTATTCAGCTCTAAGGTGCTATTCCCTAGTGGAGGTGACCACATTTCCTCTTTTGTTATTAAACTAGGGAGGCAGCCCCAGATGGGTACAAGAAGGACTTGGATGCCAAAACAAATGTTCCCGTTCCCTGTGCTACCCAGCCATCCATACCTGCACTGGCAGGTTGGACTCCTTTTGCTTGTCATATAAAGATGCGGTGTAGAATTAGGTTCACCTTCACTTCCAAAATCTGAAGCTGTTTTCCGGATGAATTTAGAGTACATCATAGCAACTGTTAAGTGGCTTTCTGTCCTGTTTCAGATGGTGGGTGGGCGGCTGAGTGCCCTAGAGTTCGTGTGAAGTCAGAGAGCCCTCAGGAGGCCCGAGGAGGTCAAAGGCTGCCAGTGCGATTGCCCCTACCTGAAGCCGGGATGGTGGCTGTGGCTCAGTGTCCGAGTCATCAGGCTGCGTGGTTGGGGACACAACTCTGCTTGCCACAAAGCCCCGAGGGCATGAGATGACAAGGGTGGGATTTGGACTTGCAAAGATATAAACAGATGAAAATATGCATAATAATTTTTTCATTTAGAGTGAATATGGTATAGTCTAGTAATAAGTTTATATATGTGATTGTCTCCTAGTGTCATTCACTGAAATAATTTTTTCATACTATAAAGCAATACTTGCTTATTGAAGGAAACATATATTTATTGAAGAAAATCAGTGTTTATTCAGAAAAATTCAAACAAGCAAAAAACACAAATGTTAAATCACTCCAAATTCCATTTTTATTAACATTTTATCTAGATAGAGACATATATAGTATACATACACACATTCTAGAGCTACATGTATTTGTTTACATTTATATCTGCAAATATATCTACATCTACCACATACATCTATCTCTTGATAGATTGATCCGTTGATCTATCTCAGTATCTATATCTATATACACTTACATGAAATCATGCAGTATATACTACTTGATAACTTTTTTAAAAATTTATTTTTAGAGAGAGGGGAAGGGAAGGAGGAGAGGGAGAGGAACATCAATGTGTTGTTGCCTCTTGCGCACCCCTACACTGGGGACCTGGCCCGAAACCCAGGCTTGTGCCCTGATTGGGAATTGAACCTGTGACCCTTTGGTTCACAGGCCTGTGCTCAATCCACTGAGCTGCACCAACCAGAGCCTACTTGATAACTTTTAACAACTGAACATATCATGAACATTTTCCATGTCATTTTCTTCTACTACTGTATATATAGTCTATGAATTTTTAGAAATAATTTAATGCATACTATTCCACAGAGCACACTTTTACCAACACCCTAAAGGTTATTAGGATAGACTCACAGAGGTGGAGTTATGAGTCAAAATTTTAAGGCTTCCAGTTCTTCTAGTTCTACCAACAGTGTTTGAGACAGCCTGCTTCCCTGCCTCATCACCAAACTTTGGTTTAAGGTTTATAGACTGTTCTTTGTCTGAACAGCTCAGAGTGCCACACAGACATCCACCTAACAATGTTTTCTACATTAGTCAGGGAATGAAGGGGGTTCATTCATTTGGTTTAGTAAAGAATATTCAATATTTGGCTGAAGGAGGCAAATAAGATTAGGTCAAGCAAAAGTCAAGAATAGACTGCTGGTCAGCTAACTTCCCCATTATATTTCTTTTTTTTAAGATATTTTGCCAAAATTTCACTTTAACTACATATTCAAAGAACTATCATTTTAGTCATAATTTCATGGTTTATGTTGTAATAGTGTTCAAAAATGTCTTTAGTTCAGGGTTTCAAAACAAATCTAATATACAAGAGTTTAGTGCAGAGTAACTTTCTATCACGTGGACAAAATAGATTTTAAAGAGAGAGGCCTGTAAAAAGAAATGAAAATAAGTTCCTAGATATTAAAATATCCTTTAAATAGAATTGATAAGTGATTAATAAAAAACATGGATTAAATATTCTGACAATACTCATTGACTTAAGGGAATTGTATTGGATGGAAAATGCATTTCGCTAAATATAAAACACTTCAAAAATAGCTTGAAGTTTTTGCTAAGTCCACAATAAGTTAGAATTTTCTCAATCCTGATTCCTGTTACATTTTCAAATAAGAATCTATGGTATTTACTAGCATTTTCACAAACTATCTGCACAAACTCTGGGGTTGCCGTAACACCAACACTGTGCACTTATGGGTAGATTTACTACAAAATGAAATAATCTGCATTGCATTTATTTTATTTAATTTTTTTAGATTTTATCTATTTATTTTTAGACAGAAGGGAAGAGTGGGAGAAAGATGGGGAGAGAAACATCAATGTGTGGTTGCCTTTCATGTGCCCTCTACTGGGGACCTGGCCTGCAACCGAGGCATGTGCCCTGACTGGGAATCAAACTGGTGACCCTTTGGTCCACAGACATGCGCTCCATGCGCTGAGCCACACCAACCAAGGCTGCATTGCATTTCTGTAGAATATCACCTATAACACATGAAAATGCAATAGGGGAAGAAAGGATTTAAGGAGAGAGATTGGCGTGGTCTGGGCAGAGGTAGGCATTGCGAGAGTCTGCTGCCCCTGAGTGGTGCCTGCCGTTCTTACCTATGAATTCACCACTAGTCACTTTGCTGTCTTCCTTCACACTTGCTTCTGTGCTCCTTCCTTAATTCCTCTTTTCTCTACATTTCTATCTTTTCATGCTTTGTGATCCTCTCCCTTTATTGTAGGTTCGTGAGGTTTTCATAGCCTTGTCCAGTGGAACAGAAGGAGGGAATCAACCTTTCAACTGTCTGCTTCTAATTGTAATTCCTTGAAGTAACTCACTTCTTCTCCAGCAGAACATTGGACAAACACTGTGTGTTTCTTTAAAAAGGTAAATATAAAATGGAAGGAAACCTCACTACCATTTTAGTCTGCAACATCATCTTTAGTAATAGGTGGTAAAAAGAGAATACTCCTGAAGTTGTTGGTATTGGATAAAGTGGGTCAGGAATCTTAAAAGTCCTGGGTTCAAATCCAGGTCTGCTTACCATCTCTTTGCCATTGGACTGTCTTAAAACTCACTCGTTTCAGTGAAGATTAAAGAAGACCATGTATCTTAAACATTTTACCACAGAACTTGGCATACAGAAAAAAATTTAGGAAGTGGGATAGACTATTGTTTGGGACTGGATTCAGTATAACAGTGTAACGGGGAGTTGTTTTGCCTCCTTAAGAGTCCAGCACCATCCCACTAACTGCAGAAAATCCAAGGCCTAACGAATTTACGTGAATTCCAGAGGAGCTTCTGGTCATACTTACCTATGGCTCCAGTCCCCTGCTTCTGCCAAATTACTAGCTAAGGAATTGTCTCACCATCCCATGCATTTGTCTGTTTTGCAGTGCTTTGACTCTGACGTGTCACCCAGAGATTATTTTTAATTTCCATGCACTCACAACAGTTATTTGCAGAAGTTATTTGTGTGTATAAAACTTTCCTGAAGTTTCAAGTGGAGGGATTTACATCACAGACTTGTTAACTTACATATTAAATGTTGGATGTTCTTGATTTTCAAAGTGCCTTGGTTATGTCTGAAAAGTGGGCTCTGGTTTCTCTAAAATGAACATGAATAATGATGCCTAAATAATAGGGCTGTCGTGAGGGTTAAATAAGACAAACCAGGAAAAACACTTAGAACAATGCCTGGCATTAAGTGGTTAGCCATTACTTCTACTCTTACTATTATTATCACTGCTATTGGTATCTGGCCTGCCCCCAGGGGGTTGGGTCCCCCTCTCTCTTTATCTCTTCTGTCATCAGGACTCTTGTTTGTTGTTGTCCTGGCAGCTGCTGACCTTTAGCTCTGTCATTCATCCAGGGTGCTTATGAAAATATTTCCTAAGCAGAGATATTTCCTTTATAAGAATTTCTGCTGCCAGCTATTAATATAAAACATTTTTTTTGCCCTGATGTCAACCTTATAAAATGAATTTATTTAAGAAGGCAAGTTCCAGCTAGATCCTGGATTCAGATCAGATTCTTCTCTCTGCGTGTGATAAACAGTTTATATCTACTGACTATACAGTTTACTTATTCGCCAAATAGTGTGCTTCTTTGTTGCAAGAGGTGTATACTCCCTGATGGCAAGGCTGTGCCCAATGCACTTTGGTTTGACACCCAGATTTGCATGTGGATGGAAATACCAAGTAATAACTGGCTGCTCTCTGCCTTTCTCCACCATCATGTTGTGCGGCTGACTCCTTTCCTTGTCGTTTCTTCTACAAGACTTTCAGGATTAAGTGACTTCTGGCCAAGAAACAAAAGCAGAGTCCTCCAATGAATTCAAAAGATAACCCACGATAAAATCAGGCCCAACTTCAAGGAGACACCGGAGAAGCCCCAGGCCAGGTCTGTAAGGAACTGCTCGTCTGATGGCTCACACTGACACTGTACTACGGCCACTAGCATTTTATCCTCCTAACGGGCTGGAAGGCTGCCACTGTCAGGACAGCTGGACATGTTTTATTGGGAAAGTAATTGTTTTCTTTATGCTCTGCACTGGTAGATTGTTTCAGTAATAAATGTGGGAAATTTTGTTTGGAAGAATAGCTGATTGAATGACTAGACTGATCAATATGGAGTATACTCAGTTCCAAGGAAAAAGGTACTTTTAAAAAGAGCCAGCAATCTTTTAAAGGTAGTATGGAAAGTTTAATTCACCCACAGTTGCACAGAGAGGTGGAGAAGGAGAGACCACCTGCCGGCCCAGCGGAGCCCACTGGTAGACGGTCGTTCCCAGAATGCTTCAGTGTGGCTCAGCTCCCAGTAATAATCCCAGGGCTGAAGGGACCCAGGTGGGAGCGGGCGGTCTGGAGGTTTGCAGTGTGGGCATGTGTCTGCTCCTGTGACTTGTGCATGTGTATCTGTACTGGTTGTGTATCACCCGGCGGAGGTTGATAGAAGAGGCAGGATGACGGTGGTTCTCTTTTCTTCCTTGAATCAAGCTGAGCACTTTCCTAGAGCTTTGAATGCATTTGGCATTTTAAATAGTCTTGTGGGTGTTTTACCAGCCACATGCATAATACAGTTTAGGACAGTTTATATAAAAGAAGATGGTTATGTAATTGTTACAACTCAAAGATCACAACTTCAAAGATTACAACACAAAGATTACAACTTCAACCATCTGCAGAACCACAAATTCCACACCTACTCTGCTTTTCCTGATACCTGAGATATTTCTGTGTTTTACCTTCCTAAAGAGGAAGGAGGAATGTGAATGATATTTATTAATTTAAGCGGAAAAGCACTAGGATTTATGAAAGACCAACATCTCTAGGAAGCAGCCAGGACAACACCTTCCCCTGCCACCTGAATCCTACCAAGGTAGAGCTAAGCAGCTCAGTTATTTATGCTAGAGCTAAGAAAGACTGTTCCGTTTAGAACTGGCTAGAAAAAAAGGTAGAACGAGGGGTGGGTTATTAGCGAGATGGTTAGTAAGATAGAAGTAGAATAATAAACTGAGAACTGATGAGGAGGAAAGTCAAAGAGAGAAGATGGAAGGAAAGAAAGAAGGGAGGGGAGGAGGAAGACAGAGAAGAAGGAAGAGAAAGAGGTCTGTTGTGCAGGGGATTCTAGGTTCTACTAAGGGTTGATTCTACTCACTGTGGAGGAAGTAGGGCTTGGGAATGGAGGGGAATCGGGTCACTCTCTAATTATGACAGTGATGCACTGTGCTCCCAGGGCCACAGGGCCAGCGTCGTATCTTCATATCTGGTCTGTTCTACAGGGCCTAGAACAGTACCTAGAACAGAGTGGATATTTTATAAATACTTGTTCAATGAACAAATTTATCACTCAGAAAGAGATCACTTTTCCTGGTTTCCGCAGATTAAAAATTCTCTTCATCCAGCAGCTAACTTGTGACTGTATGGGCCACATTAAGGGCTGAGCTCACGCAGCTTCTTGGGAACCCCAAACCAGGGAGTGCAGATGAAACCAGCTTGAGCTTTGCTGGAAGGGGCACGGGCCACAGATCTGCCTGCGCTTTGCAGCCCCAGAGAAGCAAAGAAAGAAAAGTCTTGGAGATACTATTTCCAATGTAGCTGTGCAAATTTTTTCCACACGTACTTTGTAAAAACCACACAGGGGGTCTCCTTTGTCACAAAGGGTACCTTTGGGCAAACTGCCTCATCCAAAGCCAGGACCTTCCTCACTGACAGGCACCAAGACAATTATTATGTGGGGAAAAAATGTGAAGTTAGTTCCCTGTGTTTCTAGTAAAGATAGGGGTCTCTTATGCAAAGGAGGAGGGACAATTACAAGTTACCTATTTCCTCTGTTGAGAGTACATAAGTAGGGAATTCCGAATGGGGCAAGTAGAGGGAATATTCACGTTATGTCTGGGCAGAGTGCGTAGCATGAAACTTCAAGATGCTTGGACAGGCAAAGTGCCCACCTAATAAAGGGGTGGAAGATCTGTAGGATGGGAAGAGATGCTTTCTAGGAAAAAAAAAAAAAAAAAAAGCACCCCTTGCAAAAAAACAAAAAAAACCCATCCAACATCAACAAATAACATTTATTAGTCTGTCTTACTTGCCAGGCACTAGTCTAAGCCTTTGCACGTATTCTCTCATGTAATCCTTACAACCCCTTCATGAGGTCAAGTAGTGTTATTGTTCCATTTTGTAGAGGAAGAACCCAAGCTGAGGATTAAGACACTCCATGAAGGCTACACAGAGAGTTGGTGGCCTTCTCTAACGATGAACAGGAGACAGAGCCCCAGCACCAGAACAGTAAAACTGGAGGGCTAAAATCCTAATAGGCTTCTACTTCCGTTCTAGAAGTAACTGGGAAACAGCAACCTGGACACATGACTCTTAGCAGCTTGCACCTTGTAACCTCCCCATGTTGTCTATCTTTGTCACTCCTCTCAAACTCACTGTACAATTTTAAGTAACAAGGACTTGAGCACTAATCTCTGGGGGCAGTAAAGAGAATTGAGGTTGGGACCAAGAGACAGGTGGGGATGGTGGCTGTGTCCCTGGGGTTTGCAGAAAAAATGAAACCGCAGGGCACAGGCATGTAAAGAGGCTTGGAGGTGAGCCGTTGACTTCAGAAAATGAAGGCTATGTAAAGCGTGGGAGCAGTCTCCGGGCATCACTGAGGAAAGTGGTGGAATATTCGTTTCTGAAGGAGTTCCGATTTCAGAAACATCTAGGCTTTGTGTCTTCCATCTGTGTTTTTGTTATCATGAAACACTGTGGGTTCCCTCTTGTGGCCCCAGCATGTGATGCTCTGCCCACCCGCCCCCATGGAAACCACCCCAAACGCAGGCGATTTGACCTACCGGGGTCAGCGGCTTCCCCTGCTTGCTCCTGACGTGTTGCTAAGAGTGTTTGAAGAGCTCTGGAAACAAGTCATTTTTAAATTAAAATTTTTATTTGAAAAATGATAGAAAAACAGCCACATAGAAGCCATGTACCCCATCTTTTTATTGCCATGACACGTAGCGTGCCCATGACCCTCCCCTCTGCTTACACACTCACTCATTTCCTCTGTCTAAGGGGAATTTTACCCTGGTACACACTTTGCTTATGTCTTCCAACTCTGTTTCTATAAATTCATGGTGATGTAAGCAGTTTTATGCAAGTATTTCTTCTCGCAGAATGAAGTATATTCATTTGCATTTCCCCCAACTCCGTATAGCATGGATTTATTTTCAGGTCACAATGGGCAAATCTACCTGTACTTTTCAATGCTATTCAGCATTCCTTTCAGCATTCCTTTCAGTAGGACTCTCATTTGTGGAACTGGGCCTCCGTCAACACCATTTATGTTGTTTCCAATTTTCTGTTATACGCTCTCCAGCAACAAATGTCTTTGTAAAAGCAGGGCTTAATTTAAAAGAACTTACCCATTTCTACTTGGTTCTTATGGGTGAGTTTTAGTTATGCAATCCTACTGTTCCTGAAAAAAGGATAGAGAAAAAAATTATGGCCTCATAAAACAAGAACACTGTGACCTTCATCATAAACTTCAGTATTCACTTTGTCTCTGCGATCCAGCAAAGCCAAGGTGAAAAGAATGCAATCTAGAACTTTTGGCACAGTCCGTCTAAAATGCTTGTTGTTTCTTTGCTTTTGGAACATTGAGGCCACACCTGCTGTATTGACTGCTTTGCAATGGACAAATGCGGTGGCACTGACTGGCAGAAACTCTTTTAAAGAAATGGAGATTTCTGGAGCATTCACAAAACATTACAGTAAGGAGCCTTTAATTGACAGCAATAAGGTTTTGTTTAAGCTTAGCTCTTTGATATTTCATGTTTGTCTGAAAAAAACTGCTTAACATGTGTCTACCAATGAGCATCAAATACACAGCAGAAGTTGAATTTGTAGTTCAGTATGCCATCTTGAAACAAAATGGCATTCTAGAAGAATTTTTAAATCAGTATAACATTTTATAGGTTTTGGGGAAAATGTTTAATGTGAATGAGTCATTAGAGAGGTTTCAGTGTTAAGTTGGTATTTCAATCACACCGTAGTGGACAGTCCAGATCTTTAGAGTTTTTCTAGTTAGTTTTACCTTAAATCAAATGGATTTAAAATTTACTGATGGATATTCATAAAGTTTGAAAGACTTTATAAATTAAACATTAAAATTTCAGTGTTTGAACTTTTTAAAAAATTGCATTTATTGGGTGGCTTTGGTTAATAAAATCATATAGGTTTCAGGTGGACAATTCTATAATGCATCATTTGTACATTGTATTATGTGGTCACCTCCCAAAGTCAAGTCTCCTTCTGTCGCCATCTATCTGCCTTTACTGTGTTCTTCCTCCTCCCCCCCTTACTTTTTAAATGTTTAGTTATTTATTAAAAATATGTACTTGGTATAAAACATTATATTAGTTTCAGGTGTACGCTATAGTAATTTGACATTTATATACCTAACAATGTGATCACCACCCTAAATCAAATCATTATCTGTCACTACAATCTTACCACAATATTATTGACGATATTCCCCTTTACCTTTTTGACTCACTCCCCCCAATTTCCTCCCCTTTGTCAGCAATCAGTTTGATTGCTGTTTCCATGAGACTGTTTTTGTTTTGTTTTGTAAAAAATCTATTCCTTAGAATAGAATGGAATGACTCACTAAGGAGTTGTATTTTGCTCCTGTTTTAATCCAATTTCAAAGCTTCTTTTCTTCTCTTCCCATCAAGTTGTGCTGCATAGATAAAGGCTGTGGGTCGATCTCAGCTATAGTTAATGGCATTACTGCCTTGGATTTCCTAGGGGCCATAATAATGAGACACTGAATCTAATTCTAACCTCCTGGTGCTTCATTTGTCAGACCAGGGCCATGTAATTAGAGCTGGAATGAGGGAAGAAGTGGTGTGGATAGAGAGCTGATGAGACTGCTGGGAAGGGCCTTCCACGGTCCCCGCAAACTGACTCCCACCCCCGGTTTCCCACATGCCTCAGTGACCTGCTGTTTTCTCCTTCTTCTTTCTCCCCTACGTTGTCATTAACTGTGAAAGAAATAATACAGACTTCCCATTTAAAACTGAGTGATTTAAGCTACATAAATTTGAGAGTTGCATTGTCACTGAAAACAGGTTTTGAAAGCCTCAGCACTACCAACAGCTAGATAAGTCAAAATCCAATGTTCAATCTGACTTTTTGTTCTTGGTTGCACTTGTTTGTTAATGTAGAGACTCGTCATGGGGTTGGATAAGTTGTGTTTGTGAAGTGCCTAAAATGTTAACATACCATTGGTCTAAAAAGCATTTGAGGGCATAAAAAGAATGAAGTGTGTGTGTGTGTGCACTATATATATATATATATAGTGAGAGACAAAAAAAGGGGAGAGAAGGGAGAGGGAAAAAGAAAGAGCGACAGACAGACAGACATCCTCAGTGAGGGAGTGGGGTTTGAAGGTCTTAAGGTAGAGGGTTATGTGTAGTCTGGAATATTTGCAAGTGTAAATAATTTTCAGACCACATCTTCTCTCAAGTACAGAGATATATTCTGAAAGTTTTGGTTTTATTCTCTTCTCTGCTTCTTGTGCACTTTCTCCTTTATTAGTTTGAAAGTGAAATGCTCTTTTGCAGTGATTACTTTAGACACTTGGAAGGAACATCTAACCTACCACCGTCTAATGTTACTGATTAAAAAATCAAATATGCCATCCGAACGATAAAGTGTTTTAAAATGCCTTAGTGCTAATCACCACTCACTTTTGAATTACATGCTATTGTTATTTAGTAAGTAGGTATCTGCATTTGGACCCTCTTTAAAAATAAAATGAAATTGGGAGAGATCAGTCAAGGATTCACCAGATGTACATTTTCATAATCAATGTATAGCCTAATTAATAATAGAAATATATAAAAAAATCTTACCTCTGAGGCATCAATTTTGTAACCATGCCATATCATGAGAGAACATACTTATGTTCTGACTTGAGTCTTGCTTCATACACCTGGTAGGACACATGTTGAATTAGAAGCTGATTCGCACAGAAGCTCAGAGATTTCCAGGAACTGTGCCTTAGGTGCTTATGCTACCTTATGGCTATGGCCATAGTACATATCAGATCCCTATAGTATTCACAGTATAAAAAAGGGTAACATGATTTTGGCCTTATGAAAATATACAGTATGTCAAAAGCACCTTCGGTCTGGGGTTTTCTGGGGTGGGGAATGTTATTCAGCGCACCATCTGTTCAATTTTATACTTGTGTAGCACTTAATCCTCCAGGGCATTTTTGTTTATAGATGGGCAAAGAACAGGCAAAGAATGTGAAGGGGAGTTCAGTTGCGGAGTCACGGCACACATAAGAAAAATAGAAACAGTGAGAATTAAATCCCTGGTAAATAGTGTTTTGTACTGATTTATTTTTTTTGTGATCTTCTCTATAAAAAATAAGTAATTCTATTGGTAAGAACAGTACTTTGGCATCAAAGTATCTCTTTGGAAGTGTGTCCTTCTTGGTGACATTACTGAGGCACTGCACCGGGGTCCCCTTGGCACCCCCACTGCAGAGGAACACGCTCTAGGGACATACGTTCATCGCTGAGGCCAATGGGTTAGAATTAGACTCCCGGTAAATCTTGAAGAAGTTCAGTAAACAAACCCCTCTCTTACCAATCCAAATTAGGAACCAACTGGAAAATAAATTACAACAGACAAACTGATGGCTTATTACTAACAAAGGTGATTGAGGGAGGTGGCTTTAAATATAGGGCTAAAGTGCTAACTTTTGACCCCAGGATTAAGAAGAATTGAGTGCCTAGTCCCAGGAGCACCTAGTCATGCAGGCCTCACCTGCATGGCTGAGCCGCTCCTAGAAGAGAACACACCGAGCACAAGAGAGGGCTGGAAGAGCTGCAGAGCAGGGAGAAAAGCCCAGAAGCTTTCTTTGTTCACACACACACACACACGGGTCAGAAAAGTCGTTCCTCCACTCAGGGCTCTCCCGTGGTTTTAGTCCTGAGGAGAAGGGTCAACAGCTCCTGCTCTCCGTGGAACTACCTTCTTTCCCCATAGCATACAGTTCATCTCTATCATTCTCCCATCTTGTTTTTGCTGCACCTCCTTTTGTTTCTTTCATTCTATTCTTTTTTCTCTTTCCCTACCTGAGATGGGGGGGAGGAGAACTTCATGCTGGGCAGTGAACAAATGTATTTTTCCCTATTTTCTTCTAATAATTTATTTTAACCATACATAGTAGCCTTAGGAGTAGAATAGTAATATTCATTATACCTACCTAAGAAGCAAAAATGAAAATATACACTTTATCTATTTTAAGATTTACATATGGAATGACACAAACCTGAATTTTCTATAGTCAGGAAAGGAAAAGTAAGTTTATACTTAGGTTGGAAACAATGAAATGTGTGAGTAGCTAAGGAACATTACATTTGTTAAAAATATGGAATATGTTCACTCGTAAACAGAACCTACAAATTTGTGTTTCCCTAAAGGTAGCAATAGTTAGAGAGAAGCAGTTGACTGGCTTTCAATTTGGATAACTTCTTTTCTAAATGCGACTGACCTCTGTTCTATGTCATGCGGTTTCTTGATTGCCTTTGGTTCCTTTGTCAGAGTCTTACTATGAATTGAATGTTACAGTTTTATGGTTTTCTATTGGATTCTTCTTAACTACTTCAGGGAAAATCAGCTATTGTTGGCTTGACTACATTCTTCAGAGAAAAACAAACTCTCAGACAAAATGGATAATAGGTGCGAAGCACTACAAAGCCCCTGCCTACCCTCTTACGGTGAGTGGTGTTTTGACGCAGGGCGGTGCCCACTGAGCTGGTGTGGCGCTGAGTGAAGGAGGGTTGCTGAGGCCTGTGCAAACCCGGCAGTCACGGCCTTACAGACAGTTCTAGTTCGATATTTTTATACCTAGAAGAGGAAATGCAATTTTCTGCAAAAACCATGTCCACGGATGATGTGGGAAAAGAAACAAAATTAAAAGAAAACATGAACCTACAATTTGGTGAAATGAAACATGAAGTCCATCACTTGCAGGATGAATAATCTTTGCAAAGGTATACCCCTGGGCTCCTATTATATGAAAAGTGACCACGTGAATGTATCCAACATAAAAACATATCAGTGAAATGTAAGTATAGAGTTTAAAAACAGTTTGTACGCACAACCAGAAATGCCAACATAATCTTTTTCCACCTGCCGGTTCTTTCAAAGCCTCACCTTCCAGGGCCTCCTCCTTCTACACTAAGTTGAGGGCTTTTCTGAAGCCAAGAGCGGGACCCATGGCCTGGCTTGCGCCGTGGTGACACTTAGACTCTCTGAGGAGAATGGCGTTCTCTTTTTCTACAGTAGTAATTTTTAAGAGACCAATTTTAAGACTTTACCAACCTCTACCTAGAACATTCTTCAGGTCTAGGTAAATCTTCTTTGCTGTAACGTAATGTTGTAACTTAGCCCCTCCGAGGACTGATCCTCATACAGCTCCTTCCAGTTCATAGAAAAAACATATTAGAAAACTTACATGTTAGAATGTAAGTTTTACGATGGTCCAGACTCAGCTTTGTTTTATTGTTATCTCCACAACCTAAATGTCTGGCACTTAGAAGTCCAGTAATAAGTGTCCAATAAATTAATATATCCATGGATGAATTCTCTTTTCCAGGATAACAATATTATTTTAAACTTTATTAAAAAGGGGCCTCTCGAATGCTCCTAACTGGGGACCCGATCCACTACCCATACATGTGCCCTGACCAGGAATCGAGCCTGTGTCCTTTCAGTTTGGAGGCCAATGCTCAATCCACTGGCCGCACCAACCAGGGCATTTTTAAACTTTTCCCCAGAGATTATTTTCCACTCCCTGCCAGGGGCCAGCCTTGGCAGGTCTCAGGGTCCCTGAAGGACAGATGGCGCAGGGGATGAATGAAGAGTCAGGCACCCAATTGGATGCTGGAGAAGAGCCAGCCTCTGTGGGTCTGACTAAACTCTCAGAGTTTGATTTAAGCTTTATTTTTATAGAGATTGTTACATAACATTAAAGGAACAGGTGTATGGCATGATCAGTTAAGCAGAAAAAATTAATACAGAGGTAACTAGGAAAAGTACAGGAAATTTCATAGATTCAGTTATGTTAAACAAAGGTTATTTTGACCAGGAGAGCCATCAGTCAGACAATTATAAATAGCTGTATGTACAGAGTTTTAAATGTCTTATTGTTTATTTAAGTTCTTAGAATTTGGCATGGGTCAAAAGGATACGCCAGACTGAACAGTGGTTATAGGAAATGTATTACAAGGCCTTTGTGGTATCTAACTTAGCTATCTATCTTCTTGTCTAGAATCTTACTTTATGTACTTTGGACTCTTACTCCTTAGTAATGGTTTCTGTGTGCTTAGTTTATAATAGTTAACCAGTTCCTCCTGCTTCTTTACCTGTCTAATTCCAGTTAATATATATTCCTGTCCAAGGTAGAGGAGGGGCTGTTATTCCATCAACTTTTAGACATTCAGGGGCTATCCCATTAGGGGGGACTTCTGTTCTACGGCCAAGAAATCATTTTGTATAACTTTCTTGGAATTCTGTGGATCGTTGGGCCTGAAATACAGGTGTCTGAAAATCCCACCACTATTAATCACAAAGACAGACATGCAGGGAGAGGTAGACAGGAAATCCAGCCACAGTTGCCTCTGCTGTGCAGATGCATCTCATTCATCCTCTGTCAAAGGGATGGGTGTTGGTCGGTTCCCGACAATTCCCATCTCTCCAAACTCTGCCCCCATAAGTTTCACTGTTTTTTCTAGAGCCTGTCCAGTTTGGTTCTATTCAGCACAGTGTTAGAACTTGATAGTTGTGTTGTCATTGTGTTAATTGCTGTCACGATCAGCATTGTCAGATCGTTAAAACATTTATGTTGTTTAGAAACAAGTATAAGTGTATGCCAAGGAACACTCTATTCCAAAGTGCTCTTGAATATCTATAATCTGCTTTCATTCAAAGCAGATTATATTTTATTTGCAAATTAAAATAATTTTAATATCAAATTTTAGAAGAAAGAAAATCTAAGAAATGGAGTGTGCTATTTCTTACTCTTGCAAAACAGCTAAAAATTCAAGTTGTTTTTGCTTGGC